AGGCGTTTGTAGATTGTTACAGATCGATATTTTTTTTAGCACACATCGGTGAAAGTCATTTCTGAATCATGCACTTACGTCCTGCATGAGAATATTTCCAGAATTACACGCCTATTGTCGCACAAACTCAGCCCATCTAATTTACATACAGTCTGAGCCAATCCTGACCAGACCAAAATTGGCATGGCGGGAGTCCGCATCGCCAGGGTTTCGCGCCCAATCTGCGGCTAGCTTGTCTGCGCTCTCTTCAGTCTCTTCGCTCTTTCCGACAGCTCGTATATGCAGTGCAAAACCCTGACGCTGCGAGCGCGTAATTTCAAGCCAGCGCTTCAGCCTGGTCCCATTCGAAGCAGACTGTATTGTACAACTTGTACAACAAAGTATCGATCCATTACAGGTCTCACATCATTCAAATCTGGGTAGAACGTTTATCTTTTTTCTCACAAAATGAAGGGAGTCAGCGCAGCTACCGTACTACCATTGCTGATGAAAGCATTCTCTGTAAGCTTTTTCCATCAACTACACTCTTAGCATTGGAAGAAATTTAGACTATATGGGAATATCCGTCGCAGCAGTGCCACAATAAAAGCGTATATGGAGAAAAGTACAAAATAGATTTCAAGAAGTACAACATCACGACAAATACAAGTATGTTATATCTTGTGTAAAGCAGCATCGCAAATTATAGAAAATCCTCTCTCGCTTCAAAGTATGGTGAGAAGAACCAATACAAGGTGCAGAAAATCAAATTCTTCATCATTGCTTCGACAGCTCATTCAATAAACCAAATTTTGAATCTGCACATCTATTCGTTTGTCATATTTCTTGCCAATTTATCACTTTTATTGTTAGAGTTCACATTTAATGGAGACAAAATCGTGATATTTTATGAAACAAACTTTGGATTATATCCATACTACAAAAACTACAATATGGATCATCCGGTTAACGGTGGCATACCTCAGGTAATGTACCGGTAAAAAAGATAGATTTCAGTAGAATAGTGAGCATTTAGCAATGCAATTTAACAGCGCATCTGGAAAAGGCAGAAAAAGATATCAATATGAGCATACCTGATGAAAACTTCAGCGGTTATGCCATAATCGATTTTGAAAAATGGCGCCCTCTGTTTTCTGAGAATGACTGGATGAAGAAGAGAGTAGGAATTTGTAGCGTCACCGCGTTCAGAACGGTATATCAAGCGGTTTACTCAAGGTATTTCAAAACGAATCGATACGCAAGTATAGCAAAACTCCTAACGGAACGAACATCAGCGAATGTGATTATCACAAATATTACAAGAAAGCCGAAATCGACTTCAATAGACACGCTAAGTAAGATACTTTATTCGGAAAGCTTTTTTACTGATGTGAAATCAGTTTAAGTGATAGCTTTTCAGACGATTCTTTCTTAAAACGATTGAACTTGGCAAACGTATAAGAAAGAATGCAAAGTGGGGATTTTATGGCTTCCCGTATTGCAACTACGACGCAGGGAATGGAACATATCAGTGTCAAGACAAATATAAGAAATGGAATGACGAGTACGCGACTTGAGTTGGATTTTGCCTCTAACTATGAGATTATTTAATCACATATTTATCATCAGACGCTAACCAGAATAATTTCATAAAAATCAGTAGCAAAAACAAGCTAGCTAAGTTTTAAAAGAAAGTTAATGAGAAAACAGTAGGAAGAAGTTGAAAAACTAACCTTTGATAGTTCACTATTTTTTTCTAATTGATATGCTTTTAGAATGAAGTTCATATTCAATGCAAGCCAAGCTTTATTTCCGTCTATATACTTGAGCAACAATACCAAGCAAAAACCAAGACAGCGGTTTTTTTACACGCAGGTAAGGCCGTGCTAATGCAATGATGTATCCCTTACTTTGCCTACTGCTAGAGCTCGTAAGAGTCAGCAGTGTATTTCTGCTTGTGCTAATGCCGCGTTTGCAGACTTTACGAATTTGGGGATACTAATCTTTCAGCTGGCTCATCCTTGCGCGAGTCTGTTCATCTAATCGTCTCTTCGATGGCGTTTGCCGCATGCCTATACAATGCTTCTAGGGTATACCATTGCCAACTTCACCTTGACATGTTTTGGCTGAATTCGTCTTTTGTCATCCATTACTCTGAGTGACAGAAACGAGACTGTCACGTCTGTGCTACGGATGACAAAGAATTGTTGATGTAACGGACATAACTCAAATAACTTCAGACTTCGTCAAAGCTTGCGTTGTACGAAGAGCCGTAGCTGCAGTGTCAGCCTAC